CACAGGAAAGAAAAGGAAAAAACCAATCCGTAACGTGGGTGGAGGGATAATATGGTAAATATCATGAGACCAAGCATTTGGCTTCATTGTTTACGTGCAAAAACTAGATAGGTTTACAAAATCGACCTATTAACATTTGGCTTCACACGATTTCAAGCGCCACCACCAATAGAGTGAGTTTAGAGTTTAGAGTCGATTTAACAACTTGTCTATACTCAGTTTTTGATGCTGAATCGGAAAAAAATATTTTCAGAAGTCGAAAAAAAAGAAAAAAGTAGAAAATTTTGCATATTTTTAGAAAGATGCGTTTTTTATCGAAAAACGACACTTTTCGACCGGAAGACAGCATTTGCTAAGACTAAAAAGTAGATTTCCGTGATCAGCAGCGCAAGCTTTATCCGATAACATGAAAAAAACGGCAAAAAAAAATTTTCACTCAAACTCTAAATTGCCTGCATCTTACAACATTTCTATTATTCTTATTAATTTAAAAGAAAATAAATACATAGAGTGCGTTTACATCATTCTACATAGAAGATTTTGAATATATAACTATAGTTATGAAATTCAAATAATATCTGTTCATGGAATTTCGTCTACACACTCTTGTTAACGTTCGGTTAAAATAATCAAATGCTTATGAAATGAGAGCTCATGTAGTTGAAGCAGATTGGATTTTTGAGTTGTTTGATGGAACCGAAAGATGATATTGACTTTGAGTATGATATGAATCATATTTAAAAGAGCAGGCAAAAAACATGATTTTTGAGTATAGAATTAAAAAAAGTACGTGACAATGATAGAAAAACTTATTGGTTATATCTTTTAATAAATGAACTTATACCATTACACAAGAAACAGATAGACAACAAAAATATTTTGTCTTATTATTTGATTTTTGTTTTCATGTGATGAAAAATCGCACAAATATGGACGATTTTTATATTTGAATTTTGATTAATCGACAAAAGACATAAGCGATTATGACGACATATGATAGTATAGGATTTTCTAAAAATATGAGAATTTTTTATTGACTACCTTTATTAAATATCTATTGAGTTTCATCATCAATTTGGCAACTTTTCTTGTTCATATGCTATTCCAAGAACACTTCTATTTTTTTTTGAAAGAGTCAATAGATCTTATATAATAAGGAAACTACAAGAATTCTTATAATCTAATACTTGTATTGAATATTTCAATAATCAATGCAGAAACAAAAGTCTTTCATGGACCGATTACATTGACTGAACAAACATTGTCTATCTAACATATAAAATATGTTGAATAGATTCTACAACATCAATCTTTTTGATCAATTTGTTCTATTTACAATTTTATTTCATCTTTATTTATTTTTTTTTGAGTGACATATAAGAAAATCAATTGACTTTAATTTCAAGTTATAGAATATGTATTCTCATATACACATAATGATTTATATAATAAAAGAAAAGAAAATGAAATAAAATGAAGTCTACAAGATCAATATGCGTGCAGATGAATAAGATGCTATTGAACTTAGAATTCATTTGCCAATACCAAAGAATTCACAAAGGTTTGGATTACGTTTACATCTAAAATTTGAATTATTCGTCAAATGGTGAAGAATAAAAATATTCAAATGTACCCTTTGACAAATTCTTCTTTGGTCAATTTTTTGTCTTCACTAATACCAAGTGTATTAAATATACTAGCGGCCAATTTTTTTGGATCAAGATTATCTTTTTGATTAGTTTTACCTACGATGGTTAACTAAAAAATTAAAACAGAATTAATACATATTGTAGTAACAAAAGAGAAGTTTGAAGAAAAAGAAAAATCCTACTGAAGCCGAAAGAAAAGCAGCTAATTCATTGACATCAACTCTTCCATCACCTGAAACATCACACCTAAATAGTTATAAGAAATTTTTTTTTTTGAAAAAAATGCGAGAAAATTATTACGAGAAATTCTTACATTTCGAAAACATAATCAAGATGCGTATTCAGATCATGTGGTATACCCACAGCAACAGCTAATAAGAATTCATTAAAGTCAATTGTACCATCATGATTTTTATCAAAGACAGCGAATACATGACTTTTATAAGGAAAATAAAAAAAATTCAAAATGTCGTAAAAAAACAAAGGTTACATTGACATACTCGGACAAGACACTTGTTCTATCTTTGTTATCTTTTATTTTTTCGTAGTATTTCACAAATCCTTTCTTGTCCAATCTACCTGTTGGAAAATCATTCCAAAAAGCCTAGAAAAATATTCAAAGAATAGAAAACATGAAAAGATCCAGGATAAAATAATAATAATATGTAACACTTACACGATGCAAATCTCTAATTTCTGAAAAAAATAAAAATGAATAATATAATTCGTTTATGATATTTTCTTACCCTCTTCGCTAAGTCTCGATCTTTTTTTTAGTATAGCAATATCTAAACAGAATTCTTTTTTTTTTTATTAAATCAATATATAAACAAGACTAGAGAGAACCTCGTAAAGTTAATTCTTTAGATGTTCCACCTTCGAGAGCGATGTTGTTTCCCATGAGAATTATTTGTCTTGATTAATATTAAGCGAAATAAGAAGAAACCTGAAAAGTAAATAATAAAACACGACAAGAGAAATATGAAAGAATAAAATATAAATGTGATTGATTGAAAATAAATCTTTCTATTATATACGTCAAAAAAACACAAGTGTTTGATGAGTTGTTTCAATATTTTCCTCTTGTGTTCGTTCGCACATCATTAATAAAATCAAATAGCTCGATTATAAGTTAAAAATGAAAAAAACAAAGTGATAGCACATAAAAATGTGTTGATTAGAATAGAGAATAAAGAGTTCATCGTTTTTCATCTAGGCGTTATTTAAGTAACACGATTAGTTAGAAAAGAAATATATACAAATTTCTTTTTCTTGTTTTTTTTTTTTGTAAGTAGTAATGGTATGACGATCGGAATTATGGCTCTGTCGTGTCAATTTATATGTCGTCCCATTATTTTCTTTCGCTTATGCATCAACTCTTTTTCTTTGCCTTGATTTTTCTTTTTTTTTTTTTTTTCGTCGAGTTATTTGTGAGTTGATGAATGACATTCCAATTTCTATTATTATTCATAGTAACAGTAGAAGCTTAGTCATTTTCAAAATTGAAAGCTGAATTCAATTCTATATTGATATCTGGGAGCCTTGTTTGTGACATCTTCAACAAGAGAGTTATTTTGTGTGTACATTTCTATGAATATCTGAACTTCAGATAGGCAACTTTTGTGATTTGATATTGATGAAATAATACAAATACATTTGATTCAGACATTATTTTATTATATAGATAACATCAAAGGATTTTTCGGTCTGTTCACTAATGATTATCATAAATCATTGTTCAGAGAAATAGGAAATTAGAAGTCTTCGATAAGAATGTAGTTTTGAAAATAACTAAGACAATTATTAGGCATTTTTTATTCAAATATTATATTTTCACAAATCTTCTTGTCTAATAATCGTTTATAAAAATTAAAATTTTAATATGAATTGTGTCATATGGAAAAAAATAATAATAATAAAATGAAAAATAATATTTGATTATAAATATTTTATTTGTAATTCATATTAGAAAATATTTCTACGATATAGAATCTCTTTTTAAAAGATCTTGACAGAAATCACGAGCTTTTTTCACCAATACTGTTTCAACGTTCTTAATTCGATCAAGTTGTGCTAAGAAAAAATTAATAAGATTTTTCAAATGTAATTCACTCTTATCTAAATTCATTGTCGATGACAAGTCTGAATTGACAATAGATTGAGGAGGATTATAATTATATTCCATTTTACCATCTAATACATAAACAAGTCTGACAAGTGCATGTAAAGTAATATTATAAATAAAATAGAATTTGTATGCATCATTACGTCGTCTAGCAGATGACGTTGATTCTAATTGAAATAAAATATTAGTTATTAATTCACGAATTAGATCATTTCGATTATCATATGGTAAAGTAAGAATATATTCGAGATGTTGACGAATTAAATCTTGTCGATCAACTAAAATACATTTACGTAAATCGGTTAGTCGAGAACTAAGAAAATATTTATTAAATTGAGATAGTTGAGCTGAAATTAATAAAAGAAAAAACAAAAACAAAACAAAATTTCATAGTAAACTATTTACTTTTTTAAATATTTTCTTACTATAAAGATAAAGTTCAGTGAGTATAAGTTGTGGTCCATGATAAAGAGCAAGTTTTCGTTGATTTGCAAGCCAAATTGTATGTTTTACAACTAATGATTCTTCTGTATGATTAAATAGTTGTATAACATCATTGGTAAATTCATCAATATCTAGTTTATCTTCTATAATAAGCAATTCAATGTCGATATCGGATGCTGGTGAACCTTCTCCTCTTCCAAACGATCCAATTAAAATTGCACCTTGAATACGTTTAGTATCTCGACGAAAAAATTCTGCCAATAATTTGATAATCTTTTCTTGTTGTTCCATTTAAAGATTGTTTTATCACTTGCTTCGATGCTTCGGAAAAACACACTATCAATTATTCTTAATTTTCTGACTAACTTTAGAGTTAATGCAGAAAAATTGTTTCACATTCCGTTCAACCACAAATTGATCTCCTTATAAATTCTAGAAAAATCTAAAAGAAGAACTATAACGTGTATCAGAGATGTGCACCGCCGCTAAAAATTGGCGAGCAGGCGACGAAAAACATGAGTTTAACTTTTAAATAGTGATTGAAGTGCTGACTGCTCCGTAAGCCTTTTTACTGAGCGGAACGGCCGCACCATTATTTTCCTAAGGGTCGAACGGTGCGGTCGCTCCGTTGAGCGGCCGCTCGCGACTCATTGAAGTTGTTTTTTCATAGATTTATTGCGACAATATTTTTAATGAATATTGCTTAATATATTGATCCCGTAATCTCGTCCTAATATAATTCAATAAATATGAAAATAGATCGATGTGATCGAGAAAGTTATTAAAAATTAACGCAACAATAATAGCATAGAAGATGACTCTTTTTTTCTTACACCATAGCGAAGGAATAGCAAGACGGCAGCACAAATTCCTGCGATATATATGATAAAATACAGAACATGCATAAAGCTGATTTAGAGTGATAGAACGAAAGAGAAAGTCATTTTTTTTTATTTTTCTCTGTCTTCGTACAGAATGTATGAATTATCGGTATCTAGGAAGTTAATAGTATAATTTATCAATCAATACAGTCACAGATTAAGTTTATAGTAAAAAGGAAGATATACGACGAAGGTGTAAATAAATAAAATGATGAATTATGATAGAAAAATAAAAAGTTGAAATCAACAATGTATCTACGCGCAATATGTGTAACGAAAGGAGTAATAGAAACAAAGAAACAATATATAAATGGCTCTATAGAACATCTAGTATAAAACAAACATATTTTGTTAATCAAAATTCATTCGCTATAGAATTTTAAAATGATATTTATATCGAGTATGAGTACGAAGTTCATGGTTTGCTATTTATTATTATTGAATAGAAAAAGAACACCAATATTGCTGTACAATATTAAACTTGCCTTGGGTTTGTTGGTTTCAACTTCGGAACATATTTCCTCAGAGCATAGTCAAATTTAGACCATGCGGCCACTCGGGTGGTAAATGAGGTGAGGATGGGCGCGCCGCACCAGTCCCATTCGCAAAATTAGAAAGCGATGCGGCTGCACTCGTATAAGTCCTATTCGTCATAAAGGGACGGATGGATCGCATGAGCGGTGCACATCTCTGACGTGTATATTTGTTGAATTGGAAAATCAATTAAAATAAAATCATTTCTGTGCTTCACAAAAATAAGGTAAGACTTGAAAACAGTTTTCGATATTCAAACATCTCACTTTCGAAAGAAAAACAAATTTATAACAAATTTTTATATGTGTTATAACTTTCGTAAACACTTCGTTATGTTCTATCTTTGTGTATTTTTCATATTTAAATGAAATTTGTTGATTGATACATATTTGTCAGCATAGATGAAAACATTTGTTTTAAATTTTATTTGCCTTGAACAATTTATTTAATATATGTATGTTTGTCAAATTTTGTTATAATCTTGACTTTTTAATGCTAGCATAGCTGCTTTTCCCAATCCCTCAGAAATTTTTTCAAGATTTTTCAGAAGTATTTGATCTTTTGTTTTAAAAATTGATAACCAGGTATAAAATTGAGTCAATGGTGCATGAATAATTGGTTTATATGTGTTGAAATGCCAAATACGAGGTATTTTAGTAAGATCTTTTTCTGTAAATGAAAAAGTATTATAACATTGTTCGAGCTCAGTTAGATGACCACGAAAAATTAGATTAAGTGCCATTTCATCACTTGTATACATGGCTAATGGATGTGCACGTACTAATGCTTCAACATGTTGTTTAATACGAAGTTCACGCCATTTATATGAATCTATTAACATGACACCTAACAAAAAATATGAATATTATAGAAATTTTTCGAATGAATTTTTTTAAGGAGAAAAAAACTAAAGAAGGTAAAGAATTACGAAAAAAAGAAATATAGAAAATAATATGATCTATTTTGATTATGTCTCATAAGTTAAAAATCAATACAATTATAACGAATGTAATTATTGAACTGAGTGAGATTTCGATATTATACATTTTGATTAAAGTTATTTCAATAAAAATGTCTAATTGTATTAGGTCAATACGATAGGAAGAATAATCTTGTAAGATTTGACTTACCAGCATTGAAATATTTGTGATCATCTGAACCAACTGAATAATGGATGCCATCTAATTCATAATCCATTTTATTGAGATTTGTTTTAAATTCTCTTATTATTAATTCTTTAATCATTAAATATATTCCAGGAACAACTGCAGCTATTGTTTCAAATGGAATAGTGAAAAGTTCATA